TGTCGTTTCCTTTCTATCAACTATTAATTACCTAATTGCTAATTCTTATTAAAACTATGCCAGTAAACAAATTCTAGTATGGGAATTCATTTCTAACATTCACTTGTTACCCTCAAACTTCTCTATTAACGTTTTCACACTCCCTAATCTCTCAATGTAGTTATCTCTTCGTTGTTGTTATGTATTTAGTATTTGTATTTGTGTATATGAGGATCATATGTTAACACCATAATATAATATTACGTTGATTTCTCTTGCAAATATACACAAAATTTTTTACAACATATTGACGTCGCCAGACCAATTCTATGTAACAAGTGTGATCTTAATGTATAGCTAGCAAAGAGATAGTTCATAAGATCAAAATCCCAATGAAAATTGTGCCCGTTTCTGTCATATTATATCCCTAAATCTTTTGTAAATTCATATCCAGGCCCCAATCCACAAAGTATTTTAAAGGATTTTTTTTTAAATGACCCACTTTTGCTAAATATTTAGCAAAATAAGACTCACTTGCTTAATATTTAGCAAAATAAAATATTTTTTGAGCCAACTTCAGCGCCAAAAACGAAGGTATTTTGAAAACAAGGCTTCAGAAACATTTAGCCTGGACTACCTAGATCCCATTATGTTCTTCTTGAGCACTGTTTTTCAAAAATTACGACCTTTCTTTGGCCTAGTGGCCAAAAAAGATGGTCTATTTACTATAATATTTACGTAAATCTCTAATTTGCATAAATATTTAACAATAAGTGCCGTCTTATTTCAAAAAAATTCCTTAGTTTCATAATTAAGGCCATGCATCCAACCAAATATGACAGATTTGAGCGACTAACATGCAAATAAATAAAGTATCTTGCAGCATCTAACCTTATAAACACTCCTCAAAACATTTAGGGCGAAAAAAAATAAAGGCACAAAATTTTCACCATTGTAGCCCGCAACTTCCGAAACTATATACTCAAAAAACGAATTATTGAAATCAATATTTACCAAATTATCGACCCAGTTTCAGTCAACTGAACAGCTGAAACTTAGGTAGATTTGGTGAAAAAACGCTACAAAAACTTCACCGGGCATTCAAGTCCAAAAGTCTCGGTGAAGTAACACCCCCCTTAAACTTGATCTTATCTGTCGCTTAAACCTTCACGACTCTAACCAGTCCCGTAAATTTCTGTAATTTTTTTTACCAAATTCGTACCCAGTTTCAACAATCAGCTGAAACTGGGTCGAATTTGTAGATAATTTCTAAATATGTGTTTTTAGATTTAAGGTTTGTAACGGCTAGTTTTCGCACAAATTTGCAAAAAAATAATACACAGCAGTGACCCCTCTTAGTAAGTTTCAACGGGGAGCGACGTTCGTCTATTTTCCCTCTCTCTGTCTCTCACTCTCGTTCCCTCACTCCCGTCCCCAGAACCTTAAACTCACCAAAAAAATGAAATTAGCGTTTCTATTTCCTATCTAATAATTCTCAATTGGTCGTCAACTGGAGTCCGAACCATTTCTCAATCAAACTGGTCACAGACCAATCAACAAAGTTAATTCTCTCTCTCTCCGTCGTCCATCTCTCTCTCTCTCACCCCCCCTCCTCTCCCTCTCTCACTCTCTCACAAAGGTTTCCTCGTAAATAGTCAAAATTTGATTTTAGGTTTCAGAGCTGTCCCCTGAATTCTACTTCGATTTCGGATCTGTTTAGAGATACCAAAAATGGTGGTGAATCACAAAAAGAAGGAGACTATCGGATATCCTAACATTGTGGCTCTTCAAGGGTTACGAGCGAATGAGTGCGCATTTCAAAGAAGAACGGGTCCAGTGATAATTGTATGTGACAAAGAGTACCTAGATTGGCAAGCTCTAGAGGTGAATTTTGAATTCTCCAATTCGATTTGCTGTTTCTGATGAGTTCGAACAATTCTTGTCCCTTCTCTCAAGTAATTTGCCCCTAATTCAGGAGAACTACTCTACGGAGTCTTGGGAAGAAAGTAGGATTGTTGGGCTGAAATTGTTCTGATAATAGTTTTGTTGCCGGTTCTTGTTAATATAATGCCAAATCACCATCATTTGCAATACTACACACACACCAATACTCCCCCCGCTCACCCCCCAAAACAAAAAAAGAAAAAAAAGCTGTACCCCATTAATGTACCCCGAACTTAAACATTGTTGGTTTTTAAACAGTGAAAGGTGAAATTTTCAGCTAATCTACCAACAGAAAAGTTAGGAATATCCTGGAAATATTCAATAATATAACTTTTGGGGGTAGTTTAACTCAAATATTGTTAAATAGGAAGGTGAATTAGCAATACGGGTAAATTTTGTAAATATGGTCAATTTGGGGGTACACATGTAAAAAAAACCTTCTTGCTTTTGTTCCCCAGAATTTTATGGTTTCATTATTTACTTGTTGATACATTGGTTTAATTGGTGGCAGAAGAATAGTAGATATGAGCAATATAGAGTTGCAGAAGTTACGGTTGACAGTGGAGAAAGCTAGTCAACAGAATCGGATGCTTGCGGTGGCCAATTCTCAGATGCTATCAGTTTGTTACTTATCTTCAATCCTAAAGTTCAATCTTCCTCGTAGTTATATTTTCTCGCCCAATATTAATTTTTGTGCTCATCTCGTGTTCGTTGTGCAGGAGCTCACCTCAAGTAAAGAGAGAGTAGGTGTCATTTGTGTAAACCGTATATTTGTTACATTTAAAACTTATGATTGTATAACTGAAAGGAAAAAAAGAAAAGTGAAAATGGTGTTTGTTGGAATGCAGCTCAAGGCTTTGCAACATGAGCTTGGATGCACTGTGGCAGTACTCAGATTGAAGAGTTTGGCATTGGATGTAAGCCCAGAATTATAGTTATTATCACATTGGAATTATGAACCTTACCGAAGTATAACTGTCTTACTATTTTTTTCTGTTATTCTTTTATATAGGAGAAGGAGAAATTGAACAAAGAACTGAATGCAAAGATTAGAATAATGGTATACAACAAAGCTCCATCTTGCTAGTAGGGCAATAGTATGTCGTCCTTATTTATTTATTTATTATCTCGGTTGTTTTAGAATGAAATGTGTTGTTAAAGTGGCCCCTTCCCGTTTTAGCATATTCTCACCCAGGAAAATGAAGGAACTTCTGTGAAAATTATTTTTCAGTCCCCGCCATACTTGCAACGTGTATAGGATCCACTTCATCATGACTACCTAAGGAATCTCAATCTTACCCAGAGAAAAGTATCATCCAGCTTGATGTTGTCTTAGTCCTATATCTAGACTTGCCCATCTTCTTGCAATTCTACAGTTGTTGATCCTTATATTAGGTCCATCTGCCGCTAAAACAAAAGGCAAGGGTGATAGTGGACCCCCTTGTCTCAAGGCCCTTTTACATCTACTTTTTCTTCCTGACGGTCCATCTGTCAGCAGGTTGATTTTAGCTGAACCTCAGCAAAGGTCCAGTATAGTTCATATTCTTTTGTCATGCTAGTTAGAACTTTGGTAATCATCTTAACCGTGCTTTTGAGAAGGAAAATATCCTAAAATCACCCATCTTTCGGGCATTCCCCTTTAACGGGAATAAGGACCACATGGGAGTAGTTTAGCTTGTCCATCCTCAAGTTGCATGAAGTTTCCTGAACACTTCCTATAAGGTTCTTGTAAATAGTCTCCTGGAATCTCTTAAAAATAAACACTAGGAACCCATGCTGACCTGGTGCTATGCGGATTGCCAACCATACTTACCCACAGGCCAATCCTGAGTGTTGGAACTTCACAAGAGCTCTTTGAAAGCCTTGTTCAGATGGTTTTGTATCTTCACATCCGCTTTAATGGTGCCCAATTCACTTTTGAAATTTGGGATTGTATTAAGTTGCAGGTTGGTCAGTCTATGAAAGAAGGTTGTGTTAACACCATCCTCTCTTCTAGCCACTTAAACCTTGATCATTGTTGTCACATGATCTCCTCTGTCCGTAAATTCCCTTAAAAGCCTGCATACTGGCATTAAGGAAGAGTACTTTTGGTCTGTGAGGGCAGAGGACTCCTCTTTCTTGTAACATAATCAAGAGCTTTAGGTGTTGCAATTTGCTATATAGTAGTCTCAAAGCAGACTCTATTCCATTTAGCTAGCCTCTGGCATAATGTACGTAGTTTTGTCACAAAGATGGAAGCAGCATCTACCCTTTTAGCTGGCTATCTCCAACTCTCCTTTATAATGGAATTAACTTCCTCGATCTGACCCACATCCTCTTGGAATTAGAAAAGTCTTCTTTTTGGTGTATGTCTGTTCTCCTGTAACAGAGAAATATAGACCAAACATGAGGTAGTCTTATAAGGCCAAAATAGGCGAGTTAGTAATAGCATAGCCTGCAGACTGGATGTGAGTTCACTATTAGATGCTAACGGAAGTTGATTTTTACATTTGTTATATATTCTCTTGCTATTATTCATATATAATCTCACTGAAAACCTTCTCCTCGCAGGAGAAGAAGATGCACAATGAACTGTATGATAATACCAGAGCTGAGGTATTCAATAAAGCTCCATCTTGATTTGATCCATGTGGAGTTTTCTGTATTTTTCTGGTATCTGTTTGTTCTAACCTTGTAATGCTAAGCAGGGTGTCTCCACGTGTGCGGAGGTTGTGGCTGGTGCATATATTGGTACTAATAGCATGGGTTGCAATCAAAGTAGGAGACGTACACTTGGAAACGAAAGTAATATAAACAAAGCCCATGATATTTTCTAATCACTTTACAATACCTTGCTTGCTTATTTTTAATCCATCTTAGATATTTCTTTATTATAATTGACTTGCAGCTCTGGGGTCCACTACCTTTACTCATCAAGCAGAGGAAAAACCAGCTAATGAACCTGATGAGAATATTAGAGCTGAGGTGCTGAGCTATGCATCTTCTTAGTGGACTGTTTGAGCTATAAATATTATTTTCCTTAGCTTGAGTTTTTTGTTTAGGGTTTTTTCACCTTGAAAATAATTAATTATACATGAACCACCTTTGAAATTCAATTTATACATAAACCACCTTTAAAGTGGGTTTGTGTTGCAACCAACCGCCTCAACCATCTCTCACTCATATTTTCACTAAAAAATTCACGTTCAATGTATGCGACTCATATCCTAACTAGACCTAGACATTAACAAAATGAGTCATGCGCCTTGAATGTGACCTTTTAAGGGTATTTTGGGTTTTTAGTGGAAAAAATTGCCAGAGGTGGTTGATTGCAACACAAACCCACTTTAAAGGTGGTTTGTGTATAAATTGAAAAGGTGGTTTATGCTGAATTACCTTATTTTTTAGGTGGTTTCTAGGAAAAACCCCTTTTGTTTATTTCTTATTAGTTTGGAAGCTCAAGAAATGACGATCAGAGTATGTTGAGACTCCAACTTTCTTGGCATGGCTAAAATTTATGACACTATGGCGACAAACCCCATTGGAGTTTTTGGAATTTGATGTGCCAACTGTATTACATAATCTATGAGTAACCTTACTGAATTTTATATGTTGATCCTTTTTCTTTCTTTCAAGGAGGAGAAATTGAACGGACAACTGAACGAGAAGAACAATGATGAGGTATTCAGCAACATTCCCTTATTTTACTGGAATATTTGAGCAACACATCTTCATTATTTGTCTAAAATTGCTCATGGTAACTTCCAATGTTAAAGGAGGAGCATTCCAAGTGCACTGAGGTTGCAACTGATACATCAGGATGCCATTCAGTCGATAAAAACATGGCCTACAAACCCAAGAGGCGAATTCTCCGAAGTGAAAGTAATTTGAAGAAATCTCTACCAGTTAATTAATTGAAACCTTGGCGCTTATGTTTATATTTATATAATATACCTTATTAGTCTTGCAGGTTTGGGTGCTTCTGCTGCTACCTTGACACATCAAGTGGAAGCAAAGGACAAAGACACCAGAAGGTACTTCATGCTTTTTACATGATGTAGATGTGTAGACTAAGATTCTAGTGTTGTCTAATGTGAATAATCTTGAAGCAGAAAGTCTTCAAGAAGGAGATCCAACATCAACTTTACATCTGAAGAGCGCGAGTCTAAAGATAATTTGCTTGATATTGAGAATGTCGAAGTTCCATCTTGCCCAGTGATAAGCGAACCTCCTATTAAAGACAATCCTGTTCAATCAAATTCTTCAGCTACTGTGACTTGTCGGATAGAACCAGAGGAGGAAGTTGGCACAAGGTAATTTAATAACTAAGGATCCTATTGTGTTATTGTCTTCAAAGTAAAAGTACCGATGCAGTTGAGCCTTTTATTAGAGTCCGAAGGTCCTCAAGAAAGAGAGCTAACAATCAGAAATCCGAACAATCTAAAGAGCATTTTGCTGAGACAGCAGATATTCGAGCTCGTTCTCCAATCCCTGACCCTGAGGAAAGATCCTTACCTCCTCCAAATTCAGATGCTCCGCTGAAGCACGAAGAGAGCAAGACCCAAACTTTGCACAGAACACCGGCTAGAAGGCCAACGCGAAGGGCAGCTGAAAAGGTCACTTCATACAAGGAAATCCCCCTCAATGTCAAAATGCGAAGAAACGAGTAAAGTCGTCCGGAGCTCTTGCTGCAATGAGATTCGACTGAGTTCTAACTATTGCCAGCGGAGCGCTGGTATTCTCACTGTCCTCTTATATTTCGTATATCCATGATGTACAAATGTGCGTATACGCCTTGTATTCCTAGATTTAGCTTTTGCAACTTCGGTTTTTGTCAACATACACAGCTGATGTGTTGTAGAAAACTCAGAATGATGTCGTCTGGGTTCAATAAATACGTCTTAAACTGGAGATGCTTTAAGGGTTGATGTTTTGGTTTTCTCATCGTGTTGATGTTCAAAGAATCTAAAACATTTTGATTCTTCACGTGTCGCTTTTGGCCCTTTTCGCTGGGTGTGAATGTGGGCGTTTCCGATGTTGGGTGAAATTAAATTCCCCATCTAACATCTTTGCCCATATACAAACGGTCGCTGTACTCACACGAAATAGATGCTCGTTGGTAAGAATTAAGAAACCATCGAAAACAGTAATCACAGGGCGGGTTCAATAGCTGGGTAGTGACGTGTCAGGAAATGAGCGGTGGATGCTACGGGTCCTGGGGCCCACGAGTCAGTTGAAAACTGCCCTCTGTTTTCCCCCGCATCATCTTCGTGCTTTGCCCTCCTCTCGTCCTTGGGGAGCTGGAATGGCGTCTGCTCAGCTGCTTCAGTTCTCTCGTCTCCCGCCTCAATTCCCAAGAACCACCTCACAATCCCCCACTTATTACCGTCCATGCCACTCGGCCGCCGGAACAAACCCTCGCCGTTCAATCAGATGCTGGTCTTCCTCCAGCGGCCGGTCGCCCGAACCCGAGAGCGGGGACTCTGCGGTCAAGGACGTCGAACGGCTGCTCGAGGAGAAGCGCCGTGCTGAGCTGGCAGCCCGCATCGCCTCCGGCGAGTTCACCGTCGGCCAGTCTGGGTGAGCCACCTGTCTTCATCTACGCTCTTTAACGTGAGTGGAAAATTACCGATCAATTTTGGATTTTTGGCCCTTTCTTTTCCCCTTCCTCCTCCCTTGCAGGTTGGTCCCCACGATTCTGTCGGGGCTGGGTCCCGCTGGGAAATTCTTGGCGGCCTCCGGCGAGTTCACCGTCGGCCAGTCTGGGTGAGCCACCTGTCTTCATCTACGCTCTTTAACGTGAGTGGAAAATTACCGATCAATTTTGGATTTTTGGCCCTTTCTTTTCCCCTTCCTCCTCCCTTGCAGGTTGGTCCCCACGATTCTGTCGGGGCTGGGTCCCGCTGGGAAATTCTTGGCGGAGTTCGTGGAGAGATTAGGGGGAGGCGGGGGCCGCGAGGGTGACCGGCCGGAGATTCCTCAGGCGAGGGGATCTATTGCTGCTGTTGGAGGACAGGCCTTCTTCATACCCCTCTATGAACTCTTCCTCACCTATGTCGCCTCAATTTCGGACCCAAGGTGATCACCCCAGCTACTGCAGCTGTAAATTTTTTTTTCCCTCGGATTTTTCTATCGTGCTTGGTCGAAGTGTTGGTAATCTCTTGATTTTGTGATTGTTGACAGTCGTTTTTGATCGTTTCGGACCCGGACATAGCTAGGCGTATACTAAGGGACAATTCCAAGGCTTATTCCAAGGTATTTCTATTGTTTTCCTTGGACTTACTTTAACTCTCCGCAATTTGGTTGATGAGTTAGCGGGGTTTGCTTGGATGAACAGGGGATTCTAGCTGAAATTTTGGAGTTTGTAATGGGTACGGGGTTGATTCCGGCCGATGGGGAGATTTGGCGTGTTAGGAGACGAGCAATTGTCCCTGCATTGCACCAAAAGGTACTAGAAAATTTTCCTTTTCTTTAGCTGTATTTTCTAATTTGGGTTTTATTGTTTTAACTGTTTATTGTCGCTAGTATGTGGCTGCCATGATCAGCCTATTTGGAGAAGCTTCAAATAGACTGTGTGATAAATTGGATGCTGCGGCGTCGGACGGAGAGGACGTAGAAATGGAGTCCCTCTTCTCTCGGTTGACGTTGGATATCATTGGCAAGGCAGTTTTTAATTATGAGTTTGATTCGTTATCAGTTGATAATGGAATAGTTGAGGTATTTGCTTGTTTGCGTAGCTACTTCCGATCTTCGTGGCGCACAAATTTTCTATGTACTTCACATTGTCTGCTAATGTTTTTAATGTTCAGGCTGTTTATACTGTTTTGAGAGAAGCAGAGATGAGAAGCACTTCTCCGATACCTACTTGGGAAATTCCAATATGGAAAGATATCTCCCCTCGGCAGAAAAAGGCTAATGAAGCTCTTAAATTGATTAATACTACTCTGGATGAACTGATCGCAATTTGTAAGGTAACATAGTAGCTGTATGTGCATTTGCATGTGTAGAGGATAGACAAGTTAGAGCAATGCTTGGTTTCGAAATGTTAAGAAGCTCACTTATGCATTAAAAACCTTTTGTCTGACTCATTGATAATCAGGGAACGTACTCTCTTTCTTCCAAATGTTAAGAAAGCTCACTTGTGCATTAAAATAACTTTTGTCTGACTCATTGATAATCAGGGAACGTACACTCTTTACCTGACATAGTAACTTTGGGAGACTATCAGTGGCAAAGGCACTGGGGCCAGGGGTGGCCATGCCCCCCTCCCCTCGGCTTTTTTGCAAAATGACCCACTATATATATGAGGTTTGCTTGCAAAACAAAGTTTTACTCTCTTTACTTTTAAACCGACATAACTCTATATGTTCTAATACATTACTTACCTTTAAACCCAAAGTGAAATACAATGGTGTATACACATTATAAGGTGTGTAGCAAAATTATTTAAGAAAAAGGTGTATAACAACTGTTGGCAATAAAAATTACCTTAATTCCTAACAAAGAAGCTCAAAACTGATAAAAACGCTAATATCTCTCAAACCCATGTTCTGAAGTCCGCCTGCAAGATTGGACTTTGCTTGAACATTGAAGTTCGCCTGCAATGCTAAGTTCGTCTGACAACTTAGCTCACCTGAACTGATTGAAGCTCGCCTGACAGCTTCGCCTACGAGGTTCGTCTTGCAGCGAGGTTCAACATCAAAAGACGAGGTTCACCACGCAGCGAAGCTCGACATCAAAAGACGAGGTTCGCGCGTCGCGAAGCTCGACATCAAAGTTCATCACTGTGGACAAAGCTACTCTAGAAGATGAAGCTCGTCATTGAAGACAAGGCTCGAAGCTCATCATTGGAAATAAGGTTCGAAGTTCATCATTAGAAACGAGGTTTGAAACTCATCATTGGAAACGAGGTTCGAAACTCGTCATTTGATACGAGGTTCGGAACTCATCACCAGACGTAAAGCTCATTAGTGAAGATGAGGCTCGTCAAAAGGAAATTCACAAGACTTGCTATGTAGTTAAACTCAGCTATCGAAGACGAAGTTCGTTAGTGAATACGAAGCTCGTCAGATGGCGTCAGTGAAGACAGAGTTCGCTATACTGCAAAGTTGACCTTAGAAAACGAACCTCGTTGCATGTTGAGGCTCGTTCAATCAGATGAACTTTGCCATGTAGCGAGGCTCGTTGTCCGCGGGAGATCCAACTGTAACGGCTCCGAAAACCCAGTCAACCATGTAGGCTAAATCTAAGGAGTCAGTTACGTCACAACTCCACGATTTTAGCGCATCAGTTACGTCACAATTCCACAATTTTAGCGCATTAATTACTCACTAAATGCCTATAAATAGCTATGAGTAGCTATAAAAGGAGGGGGACAGACGAGAAGCACGAGGGGCAGAGCTTTGACATTCAAGATTGAGATCTGAACCTCGATTCTAACAATCTAAGCCATCAATAAAGTCTGATTCTCTTCTCGAGTTGAAGCAATCTTGATCTGATCGTCAACGGAAAGCAAGCTCGACTTAAGTATCGAGTGAGACATCCTTTCGCCACCAAGAACCTATTTTTAAACAAAAGAGAAGTCAAATTAATATTTTCTTCCTCTATAATCGAGAGAGTGAGTGGTTGTAAGGGATTCATACTAAGTGATTGAACCCATTCTTAAAACAAGAAATCAATCAACTTTAATTTTTCGACCCTACAGAAGATGGTGATCATAGTGAGAGAACCCGTTCTTTCCGATGAACTGGTGGTGGTGCAATCAGATCAGATAGCGGTGGGAACCGAGATCGAAATTCTCGTCATCGAGTTCGACCAATCCAAGTATGAGGAGTTCCTCTCCTTAGAAACTTAGAGTCCTACGAAGGCACGTAAGTGTCGTAGAGTCTCTTATGAGACTTCAGCCCACGTGGCTTCTGATAGTTCAACCCGAGTCAGTCTCGAGGAGAAACCTTTGCCTCTGAATAACGAGGCTTTGAAAACTAGCCATCAGGCGAAGAGGTGAGTTGTCAAGCAACCTCGCAAAACTTTGGTTGCTTCTACGGAACAACCTAGCCAGAAATTGGCTGTTGTAGAACCTGTTGCTAATTCGCTCTCAAAACGAGCAAGACAGCATCGACGTCAGAACCAGGCTCGCCGCAAGGCTCAAGCCTTGGTCTCGTTGGACGGTTTTCACTATCAGCTACGAGACAACATGTCTAAGGTCCACAAGCTTACTAAGGGTCAATTAGCTGAGGAACGTCAAAATGACGAATTTCACCCTTGTACAAAATTAGGTTCGAATGACGAGCTTCAATACGAGGTTCGTCCAACTCAATGAGTTTGCTCTGTTGGGAAAGATTGCCAAATCTAGGCTCGTCAGGAGGACAAACCTCGCTCGAATGACGAACCCCGTCTTCAACATGAGGTTCGTTTGAAACAACCGTTGTAAGCTCGCACTGCTATTCGAGTTGGTCATATTCAGTCCTGTCGAAATAACAAGCCTCACCAGCGTATTTAGATGCGTTTGACTGACGAACCTCGTCTTCAACACGAGGCTCATTCAAAACAACCAGTGCAAATTTGCCTTACTACTCAGAATAGCAAGACTCAGGCTCGACAAAGACGAAGTGACGAACCTCATCGAAAAGACGAATCTCGTCTTCAACCTCAGACTAGCATTGTTACAGAGAAATATTCAAGGGCCCAAGACGAGGTTTGACTCAGACGACAAATCCGTCATTGGAACCAAGTTCGTCCGATTGACGAACCTCGCATGAAATACGAGATTCGTTCCCCGAACCAGGTTCGTCCGAATATCAAAGCTCGCATGAATGACGAGGCTTGCCCAACCGACGAACCTTGTATCACACATAAGCCTCGCCCAATCGTTCGAGTGCACCCAGACGACAAACCCCGTCTTCAGCATGAGGTTCGTCCATGATACGAGTCGCCGTGCGAGCACCCTTTGGTCGCGGAATTACCAAAAGGTGGGTTGAGAAGAAGACAACTAAAACACAAGATAATTCAGTATGACGAAGAAAAATACATTCTTCTAGATTATGAAGAACAAAAGATCACAATCTCTCCCTCACAATCTCACTAGAATCGAGAACAACCTCTCAATCCTCTCTAAACCCAATGTTACATTAAACGCTGGGCGCTTCTAGGCGTCGGACTTGGCGCCCAGCGCTTAGTCGCCTAGGCGGACGCCTAAGCGGTTTCTGAGCGTTTTTTTTCTTTCTTCATTTAAGTGGTGGTCGATGAGGTTTTGCTGAAGGTCGGAGGAGGTAGTGGAGATATTCATATTTGAAGGTTAATGGAATTTGGAGGACGTGTAGGCTACGACACATAAAATCACAATCAAGGTCTACATGGTGCAATCTACGTAAGCAGACAATGCTCCCCTAAACGTTCGTAAAATCTAGGTGGGCAGCCTAAATACCGCCTAGGCGCTAGGCGCTAGTTAGGCGGCCTAGGTACCGTTTAGGTCTAGGTGTACGCCTAAGCGGACTAGGCGGAGGTTTTTTAAAACAGTGTCTAAACCCTAATACAAAGATTAGAATCTCTGTCTGATCTAAGATCCTTAAGATCCTTACAATCTAAACCCTAATCCTTTTGATTAGGATCTCACTTAGACTTAAAACCCTTTAGATCTACATCTTGGCCTCCCCTTTCCTTTCTCTCTGATTTAAGAAGATTAAACTGATGTTTAGAAACCCTAAACAACCCTTTATATAGGTGTACAAACGTGGATGGCAATCTGGTAAATAACCAAGCCTAAAACCAACAGGAATTCGTGTGAACAGAAACCCAAACGAACCAGGAAACCTTCGATGAGTCGACTCATGACTGAGATGAGTCGACTCATGACCTCATATGAGTCAACTCATAACTGATGAGTCGACTGGTCAGAACCGAATTACTAACAGGGCTTGAGTTCTTGAGTCGACTCATGACAAGCATGAGTCGACTCAATCTGATGAGTCGACTCATGTACATGTATGAGTCGACTCACGAGCTGAAAACTGAATTCTTCGAATCTGCTGCTCGTCGTCTCGTTCCACGCTTTCCCTGCGTTCCACTGTACTGATTGACACCTCTATTCTCATGCTATCATGAGAATCACCTATCCTCAAGCTCCCATAAGGATCGCTAAGTTCCGAAGAGAAGATACACCTGTATCATGCTTTGATTCTTCGTTCTTCCGACTCGCTTCACGCTTCATCCTGTGCTCCGCCGTATCGCTTCACACCACTATTCTCAAGATATCATGAGAATCACCTATCATCAAGCTCCCATGAGGATCACTAAGCTCCCGAAACAGAGAAGAAGATACACGCGTATCAGTCCAGCCCACCAGGCTCGTTAATCTCTAACACTTAGAGATTCTTGCGCATGCATAAGCAAACTACCTGGGTTAACAGGGGGTGGTCCCGTTACTGATCTCCGTGATTACCTGGTTCGTAAGCGCAGTATGAGCCAAATAAAATCCAATTGTAGTTGTGAGAAACTTATCTCCGCAGTACTCTCTTAATGCCCATGTGGGGGTATCAGCACACAAGTCTACAATCTTTGAACGACTGTCAGAGCCTTCGATGATTCCTTCATCCAGAAGAAGACGTTTTCGTCCTAAAAAGCAAGCGTCCAAAAATCGTTACGTCGAAGTGACGATCAATATAGTTGGTAAAGACAAGGATAAAACCCAAGTCGATTCTTCTCAGTCCTCCGATCTTGAGTTTTTCCAGGATTACGAGAAACACTCATTGAAAAACAGGGTGTTTCAAACACACCCGTACCCGTACCGGAGCAAGGATCCCGTTGGATTATCAAAAATTAGCGGGTATATCCTATGATGTCGAGGAAGAGCCTGAAAACTCTATCATTGCAACATCCTAATCTTCCAACACCGATCAAAGTGAGCAAATGAGCGCTCACATGATCGGGAATGAAGAAGAAATGGCAAGAAGGCTGGAAGAATAACAAGCTGTTC